AGCAGAGTATCCACCATTATGATGCCATTTTGCGGATGACAAAACTGTTTGAGGGCATAGTCACCCTAGCACTTTTCTACTTGTTCCTGGACAGAATTGGAGCCAGATGCAGACAGGTAGGGCCGTAAATACTGTCAGATGCATTTACACCGCTATTACCTCTGTCGTTTTCGGAAAACAGCGGGCCACCGACCTTTCAGGAGGCCGAAGTGAAACGACGGCCGCCGATTAGATTTATCAATGGCAGACGTCGTCGAACCCAAACTCCGAATTCTTCAGGAACTGGTGTTTTCCCTCATTTCCGAAGCGGCAAAGGTACTAGTGCTTTAAGATGGTGCAAGTGCGAGTATGCACTGAGAACCGCAGCAGGGAAACAAACTGGTGGGTTAAACCGCAAGTACACGGCCCCAGCCTTGCGCAAAGTTTTTGTCGCCACAAGCAAAACTCGGAGGGACCGCGCGGCATGGGGCGCCGTTGAAAAAAAAAAATCCGCGGCCTCCGAAGTGGTGCAGGTTTCGTGCTGACACCCGCTGGCCGATGTGTGGTGTTCGTCTAACATTCCCATAGAGAACCGCTCAAAACTCTGCAATGACCACAGATGCCCACAATCCGATAGTATTGGACGAAATGCTCAACCAGAATCAGCCCAAAGCAGGCTACCCCTTGTGGCCAGCGCCTAATTGATATGAGCAATCATTACAAGTTCAATAAAATAACAAGGGGGGCCCTGCTATGAGGCGAGAAGAGATCAGCTGTTGGTGACATCGTTTGGGTTGGTACTGTCTCTAAGTTACAATGTCGTGATACAGGGGGGGTTAGGAGGCGATATAGGATTAGGAAGCCAGAAGGGATGATATAGCATAGTTCTTTTTTTTACTAATTATCATTATCAGTAGCAACATCATCAGTCATCATTCATCATCATAATCATTAGCATCATCAGTTGAGGGACGCTGAGCCCGGTTCTCAGCAAGTCAGATTCGATCACTCCGGGCAGACAGCAAGTCAGATTCGATCACTCCGGGCAGACAGTGAGGACCCCGGCCTCAATCTGTTTATTGATAATATTAGCCTTGGGCACTGAAGCCGGTTTAACGAAAAACAAAAAACAAAAAAAAAACAAAAAAACAAAAAAAGGTAGCTGTGATGTTTGCCTTAGTGTAGTGGTGCTTTGGGAGAACACACGCGGCTTTTTTTTTTTTTTTTTTTTTTTTTTTTTTTTTTTTTTTTTTTTTGCGTGTGTGTGTGTGTGTGTGTGTCGGATCCGAAGTCAGGTAATCAGCCCAAAGCAGGGTACCCTTGCAGCCAGTGCCTACTTGATATGAGCAATTACAAGTTCAACAGCAAGGGTAGCTGTGATGTTTGCCTTAAACCACCAGAACCACCAGTACTTCCTACAGTCGCATAGCGTTAACGCTACGCAATTTTAGGAAACGTACGGGCCACTACAGGAGCGCCCAAATTCATCCAACTACAAACGTTTCTACTCTGTTTTTTTCCCGCGGCCGATAGCTGGGCCAAGTACTGGT